AGTGACAGGCAGAGACAGCCCTGCAGCCCGCGAGCACTCATGATCCCTGGTTATTCCGGCTGCCGTGTCCAGAAGTTGTCCGCTAAGGTTGCTCAGGGCACTGTCCACGGCCACACGGTGCTTTAGAAACAGCGGCCGGATGACCCGGCGCTACAGCACGAGCGCCCCATTCCAGGGCCCGGGAGTCATGCAGAACAACAGGAAGGCGCATTGCCGGACAGGCGGCGGTGGAGTCACACGCGGTGCCTGGGCAGGGTGGGCCCGGGTCTCCCCATCAGATGCCTCTGCAGGGTGGGCCTGGGTCTCCACCATCAGACATCCTATTGGGGTGGGCCTGGGTCTCCACCATCAGACGCCTCTGCAGGGTGGGCCCGAGTCTCCACCATCAGACACCTCTGCAGGGTGGGCCTGGGTCTCCACCATCAGACATCCTATTGGGGTGGGCCTGGGTCTCCACCATCAGACGCCTCTGCAGGGTGGGCCCGAGTCTCCACCATCAGACACCTCTGCAGGGTGGGCCTGGGTCTCCACCATCAGACATCCTATTGGGGTGGGCCTGGGTCTCCACCATCAGACGCCTCTGCAGGGTGGGCCCGAGTCTCCACCATCAGACACCTCTGCAGGGTGGGCCTGGGTCTCCACCATCAGACATCCTATTGGGGTGGGCCTGGGTCTCCACCATCAGACGCCTCTGCAGGGTGGGCCCGAGTCTCCACCATCAGACACCTCTGCAGGGTGGGCCTGGGTCTCCACCATCAGACATCCTATTGGGGTGGGCCTGGGTCTCCACCATCAGACGCCTCTGCAGGGTGGGCCCGAGTCTCCACCATCAGACACCTCTGCAGGGTGGGCCTGGGTCTCCACCATCAGACATCCTATTGGGGTGGGCCTGGGTCTCCACCATCAGACGCCTCTGCAGGGTGGGCCCGAGTCTCCACCATCAGCCGCCTCTGCAGGGTGGGCCCGAGTCTCCACCATCAGACACCTCTGCAGGGTGGGCCTGGGTCTCCACCATCAGACATCCTATTGGGGTGGGCCTGGGTCTCCACCATCAGACGCCTCTGCAGGGTGGGCCCGAGTCTCCACCATCAGACGCCTCTGCAGGGTGGGCCCGAGTCTCCACCATCAGATGCCTCTGCAGGGTGAGCCCAGGTCTCCACCATCAGACACCTCTGAAGGGTGGGCCTGGGTCTCCACCATCAGACATCCTATTGGGGTGGGCCTGGGTCTCCACCATCAGACACCCCCTGGGCTGAGCCTGTTTCCCCCGGGGAAGGGGCTGAGTCTCTCCCTCACCCCCAGACTCCTGGTCTCCTCCCAGCCCGGCCCCCAGGCTGGGTGACCAACTCCTCCCGGGGACCCCCATGTCGTGGGCACCAGGACTGTGCCCACCTTGCCCATGTAGTAGAAAGGGAACCAGAACAGGAGTAGATCGGTGAAGAACTCAGCCAGCCCAAACAAGGTGAACACCACCCAGTAGGTGAGCCAGACAGTGTCGTCGTCTTTGCTTGGGCTCTCGATGGCTTTGATTCTGTGGGAAGGCGCGGCAGGGTCAGGGATGGCCCCGGGGACCCCGCCCAGCCCCCGCGTGGACGGCCAGCCAGTCCTCACGAAGCATATGCGGGGTAAACAAAGCCGATGAGGTTACAGAGTAGAGATTCCCCGTAACCAAACAGCAGACACAGGCTTAGCAGAGTGACAGCTCCTACAGGAGAGAGCGG